CCCACTAGTCAGCTTAGGTGCCGATTTAGCAGCTGATCCCTCCAAGTTGCTTTATTGCCGTGTCATTTGACCTGATGACAAACAATGAGCCCATGGCCTAGACCTGTAGAAAAATAATCCCTTTTTTGGGCGCTTTCCCTCAGAGAGTGTATACACCCCAGTGCTCCCATTAGATAGAAAACAAATCAGGTCAACGTGGCCCCTCCCAGGAACGGATTGCAAAAGTTCACTGGTCCCCCGTGAGAAGGGCTGTTGGTGGTTCGAGCTCCGGGTGCTGAGCAAGACACCTAACCCCTAATTGCTCCCCGGGCAAAGAAATGTAAAAGCCATGGGTTAAAAATGCAATGTAAGTCGCTTTGGATAAAAGCGTCAGCTGAATGACCTGTAATGTAATAATGAATGTTGTGTTGTTTCAATCTCAGCTAATGTTAAGTGGAAGCGTAGTGTTGTGTCTTTAGGCCTTGGGCCCACTTAGTGACCCTAAATGCAATGGCTAACATGGTGAGTAATGTTGCTGACCGGGTTGGACAAAATATAAAAGCATAAAAGTAGCCGAACGGCTCCTGTTGCCGAGGATTCGGTGAAGGCTGTTTGGCTGTAGCACTTGCTTTTTTTACAAGGACTCTTGACGTACGTGTCACGTATTACTGCCCTTATTTTGAAGGAAGCAGAAGCTCTAGTGTGGGAAGAGGCCAGAGAGAGTGCCCTTTGGCGCCCTCAGAACGGTTTTGGCAAACACCAACATGACACAGGGACCAGCAATCATTTTTGTACACAGGATTCAGCATAGATGGGGAACATCTGACTTTGACCAGCTGAACAAACACATTTCGAAGAACCCGCATTTGCAAGGTAGTCTCTCTCTCTCCTGCAAAATAAATGCTTCCATGTGCACGGAGAAGCAGGAGGTACAGTGTGATCCTGGTTGGAGCACTTTCCTTGCATCTCTGCTAGACACACCGAGTTGCCATTTGACATGTGAAGAAAATTGAAGGCCATCAGGTCAGACATCACATGGAGCGTTAGCCATCCAGTAGCTGAAGAAAAAGCATTCGGCTTCCAGGATGTATAAACTAAATCATATCTTTCACTGCTGCAAACAATAATAATAATTACGTTAATATGGTTTTATGTTACTGTAATTGTAGCCTAATAACAAGAATCAAAAGACTAGTTGCAAAAAAACTAAGGCTATGTAACGGTAGCTGTTACTATAAAGTAAATGTAAGCACACACCGCTGTGTTTCAACTGCAAGCCTACGTATGGTCTTCCTTTAGTGGGGGGACTTTGAAAATAAGATTCATAAGCTTCTCCACAAACAAAGGAGTTTTAATCGTTGGCATTTCTTGCCACAAATCCACTCCTACACAATGATTCACGTACGTTACGTTTAAAACTACCATTTTCAGGGACCATTTGTTTTCCAACAGCAAATGCCTTACTCAAACTGCAGATGTGCCTCTTAGAAATAAGAATAATCATTTCAATAATTATTAATATAATCTCACCTTAAAACCAGTGGAGCAACCAAATGGAATAGGTGTAACCAACATATTAAAAACCTTACAAATTGTTCAGAACTTGTGTGTTATTGCTGATTTCCAGTAACTCAACTGTTGACATGTGTGAATGCAGATGGTATGAATTGTTGAAAAAAAAAACCTTTTCCATTGTTTCAGTTGTGAGTTTTTGGCCTGCGGGAACTGTCTAAAAGAAATAGAGAAGAGGATGCAGTGATCCTCAAAGGATGTTAACTGCCAGCCCACTAACTGCCTCGAGGAGAAGGCTGCCAGGAAGCGGAGTTGGCAGCACTCCTGATTTTGGTTTCTGAATTACTTACCGACTGTGAGGTGAGTGAATCAAAAGACTGACTCAATTCAAAAGGGACTGCGAGACCTGGATTAGTGTAGCCCTGCAGCTCTTCAAGTTCTATGAGATGAATTTTTCCTTTTAATGATTATTTGGCATTTTTTTTGCTTTCATTGGAAAGTCAACAGTGAAGAGAGAAGGAACTTTTCATGCTACTCAGGTCCATGGCTGAAATTTAGCTGCAAGCGTGTTGAACATGCGTTTTAACTGTTAATTCCAATCCCTGCTTTGGTAACACATCAGTGCAGTAAAAGAGAAGTGCTTGTCTGGTGGTTGAACAGTTTCTGACCATTTCTGTAACTTTTCCTTTAACAAAGTTTCATCTGCTCAATTGGAGCATGTATGACCATGTATGTTTAATATGTTTGAACTGGCACATCATAATGGGGGCTTTACCCTGCTCCTTCCCCCTTGATGTTGCTCTGTTTTGGTTGAGAGAACGCAAAGCTTCTAGACGGAATCGGAGAACATGAAGCCAATGTCATTGACCTTTTCCGTCAGATCCGTGTTAATGAGGGTATAGTGCCGGTTGGCATGCACCCGACGTGCACCTAAATTAAGACATCTAAGAAAATGCCAGTTCTACCATGTTAAGTGTAAACGTGCGTGAATACAGTGGAACCGCTGATGCAGACGTGACTGTTTTGTTCCCTGGGACGATGAGGGATAACACCGTTTTGTGTGAGTGGTGAGAAAAGTCCGTCTTAATCTCTTGGTGAAGTGGAGTCGGTGTTTAAAGTTCTTATATTCAGACACATCCAAAGATGCTTTAGACAATTTTGCTGTTCCAAGACAAAGAGCCCATCTGATGCTGAGGTTATATATATTTGTTTAACTGAGCACAGTGAGCATGCTGAGTGCTCGGAGCGGTCAGCAGTGCATCCCATTCCTCTCCTTGGTAAACATTTAGAGAAGTAATACAGCTCTATAACTAGAGGCCCCAGCAGGCCTGAGCCTTCCAGCTGACTCAATCTGTTTGACTTTCTCTGTGGGGCACATGGAGCCCTGGGCAGGCAACAAGGTCCTTCGGCTTGGCCCACACTGATCTGAAAATTCGAGGCTTTGACTATTGGCCAACTCTTAAATATTTGGTTTTAATTACTGCCACAACCTTTACTCTGGCAGGTTACTGTTGAAACATAATCCCCGAGGAGCTGCAGAGCAAGGACATCACACCATTATTCAACCACAGAGGGGGTGGCCACCATTCCCTTAGCCAGCCATTTTTTATCTGGGAAATGGGACACAGCCACAGCAGACTATATAGGCTGCCTTTGACAAAGAGCAATAGAAAATAGTGAGATGAGAGACACTCCCTAACCCTTAATTATACCGCAGCGAAGTTCGACGGGGGAGTGCCGCTTATCTTTCTGGTGGGGTTGGTGGATTTTTGAACTTCTTATTTGATTACTTGCCCTGTTCACCTGTCTGCCTCAACAGCCCATAGCTGCACTAATGAAGGCGCACACACGGTTCCTCTCACCAATGCAGAGACAATTTCATAATTTTTCCCTCTTATTCTTCACGGGGAGACAGGGGAGGAGAGAGAAATGCTGTTGTTGATCAGTCGCCTCAAGGTAACATCTGCCTGTGTGCAAATCTTCTCCTCAGCACGATCTTGACAGTGACTGGATGGGACATTTTCCTGTTCACTCTTGCAGTAATTATCCATTAGCATTGCTGAGTTAAAAAAAAAAAAACGCATTTTCCATTTGTGATTTATTTGGAATACTTTGCTCCAGAGACAGTTTGTTATTTTTTTCCCCCACGCTGCAGCGTCCCATGATGCACATTTTTTACAGGGAGGGCCAGGGACATGATGAGCCATCAGTACACATTTTCCAAAACTACAAAAGTGAAGAAACAAACTTTTTGGCACATCCAAAGTGTCATCCAAACATTTCTCATCACGCTTCACAGTGAGGTCTTTGGTACTCGCATTAACAATGTTGGAGCCTGATTGAGCCTAAAATCTATTGTCTTATTACTACTGTATCAAATGTTATATTAATATATACGGTAAAAACAACCTTTTTTGTGGTGGGGAAATCCTTGCACAGCAGGAAAGTGCAAAGTGTCTTTTACATTGTGGCTTAATCCCGATCCTCGGATAATTGGGCGCCATCACATGTATCCTTTGATGTATTTCTGTCTCGGTAACCACAAAGCTGCATCCAACCCTCCGACTGCACAGAAACAAAGAGCTTTCAGGTGGAAACATGGCTCCTCTGTTTGTTACCTCTTTCCAAAACCAGTGTGTAGCACTCTCACATCAACAATCCCACAAATCACGCTCCTAGGTAAGCCTTGAGTACGGGGAGCGCGCTTGCTAAGGGGGTAAATATCGTCTATACCAGTGATCCTATCAATTTCTGATTTAAAAATGTCAGTGAGCCCCCAGAGGTGACAGATTGCAGGGTTGCAGGCATCCCCTGGATATTTTTGGTACAGGGACAGGTGCAGCAAGCCTCGGAGACACGGAGGGAGGAGTGTACAGCAGAGAGGGAGAGAGGGGGGAAATGGAAAGCATATAATAAGAGGTAACTGAGAGCAAGAGCTGCTCATCAACGGCCCCAGGCTGGTCTTCATCGTCTACAACCCGGGCCGTGCTCCAGAGCTCATCTGTGTCAGAGAGGCCTTATCCTCTCAGCGGGATTGTAAAAGGGGCCCATTGCAAACTGGTACGCGAGAGGCAGCAAACAGCAACAATTACTCTGATAGAACCAGCGAAGGTGAGACTTTTAAGTACTTTATTGGCCCCCTTTCGGTCCATGTGGAACCAATGACGCACATCGAACAAACCCCACGAGACCGCCGTGACGACGCAACACTGTAGGGGCTTGAGACGGTGCCAGAGTTCATCAGGGCCCCCGCCAAACCCGATCCATCTGCTCATACTGGTGCCTTACTCTGACTTGTCATTCAAGGAGCAGCCCAAACAGCCATACCATCTGTACATGCCACTTACATTGTTTAAGAATCACTTTCCCGCTAGATAAACCATTGCATTTTACATATTATTATTAGTATTACAGCTTTGTGTTATCTGGAGCTCCAAACAACAATAATATCCTTTAACTGTTGCACACTTGCATCCTTCCTAGTAACAGAAGTACTGACTGGCAATATCTGCGTTGCGTGATCCAGTGTCTGAGGGAAACTTGCAGAAGTTTATGTCGTGTTTTAGTTGCACAAAGCAATCGTCTGAGCTCTCACTCACACGTGTACAAAGGTGGCATCACGGATGACAGGCAGTGGAGTCTATGCACTTTGCAGAGATGTGCTTGTTGATGTCTTGAGGAAATCCATTTCGGAGATGCGGGGGATAAGCATTGCACCGGGATAATCCTAGATTATTTCCATGGGGATCGCGTGGTATACTGCAATCAAGTGCCCCAGATTGAAATGTGTCAAAGTGATCTAAACACCTCTGACACATTTGACATGTGACATATTTCTGATAAGCAATGAGGACCACGCAGCACTAGTCTCATCAGAATAGTTGAAGATAATACACGTTTTATGGACAGTATTTGATAATCAGTAATGTAGGATGTGGAGAATATTTTGCCAGCCTTACATTATGGAAAACAATGTAAGCATATAGACCCAAAACAGAAGGGAACAAACAATGGGTGGCAGGGATTAAGAGAGTTTTTTAATCTTGCCAACCCGCCCACAGAGAGAGTAGAGAGAGCTGGCCAGGGGAATGCGGAGCCTAATGATGCCAGTTGGATGATGATCATACAAAGAGGGTATTGCTCGGCTTTGATCGCGTAAGCCGCCAACTCCGCATGCCGCTCCACATCTGAGCGTCACCGCGGAGAGCTCGCAGGCTTTCTTGCTGTCACAAGCTCCGAGTAAGTAGACACTCTCTTTCAACTCATTAGCTAACCCTGATGTGAGAATCATCAAAGGATTGTAAGAGACGGAGATGGGAGAAGCCGACACCCGACGTTTCCTGTCTTATCTATATACCGGCGTGACGTGGAGGCAGACATAACTATTCAAAGCAACCTGTGAGTGCATATTCAGAAGGAAAGTGTGTCAGGCTCCCACAGAGGATGGTCGCAATAGCTGGGAATGTTCGTATGTGGTTACTCGGTCTCTGCAAAGTTAAAACCTTCATGAGTTGCTTTTTTATACACGTATTTACAATATTATAAATAGACACACACACATATAGATACAAACACACACACATGTAAGTACTTGAACCCTCAAACACAAAAGGACATGCCAGCGATGACACACACATTGAATATGCGCTCACACAACCCGAAAATAACAAACTGGACAACACAGCGAAAGGCAAGATAAAGTGTCAGGTTCGATCTTTAATCAATTCAATTCAAATGGCAGTGTGTAGAGACAATTTTAACTTAAAAGCAATGAAAACGTACTGTAAATGCAAATTCTAAACCATTCTTTGTATCTTTTATCATGAAATTCATGATTTCTAATTTAGGTGTATGCAGGGATATTTTACCCATTCATTATGTTTCTATTTAGGTAATTATTTTACTAGTTGTTAGGTACAATGACATGGAAGATAACTACCGTTCATGAGCATTTCAATTGAGGCGTGTTTGTTTCCTGATGTTTCATTCCCAGGTAACAACTCTATGTTGATGGATGTAATAATTTTGAAGTAAATTACTTGGTTATTTGAATTTATATTTTTGAACATGGACTTGTTCACTTTCTTCCTGAGACTTAGAAGATTAGAATCTCCACTGCCAGTTAATTTAGACATACCCAAAGACTGGAGGCATTAGGAAACAGCTAACCTGCAAACCAGTGCCTAGTGAACACCAAATAATTAAATCATTCATGTAATTACTCATTGATTCCAATTGGGCAAAAATATAAGTAGTTGTGGTTTTACTAAATGAATTTGCTAGTGCATATTTCAGAGTGACTCTGTAGTCTTGCAGTCAGCACCTGGTTGCCAGTCAACACGCAGAGACTCAATACGTCAGTTACCTTACAGTGTTTCAATCATTATATATTTTATATATTTAAGTACAGAG